TGCAAACACTTGTAATTGCGGAGGAAGAAAGCACTTTTCTCTCTCTTTCCTCTTGTGAAAACATTTTGAAGGATTAGGAAAAGCTCCACACTGCATACTCCTCTCTCTCCAGTGAAAACATCAGCTTGGAGTGAATCAGAATGCCAGCCAAGTGCATGCTTTATGTTATTTCGGTACTGTGCAAACACTGTATCACAGCTGGAGAGCACCAGGTTGGCCAACGCTGTTCCAGCTGTTTGTTGCATGTCAAAAGCAGTAGTCTTCTGTCTTGTTTCTTCTCTCTCTCTCTCTCTCTCTGTGTGTCTGTCTGTCTTTTACCCTTTATTGTTATTTAAAGACAAAATGGTGGTTATGATCCTGCTGCAACTTCTCTTGGTTTTGCCTGCAATCCAACTCCAACCCATCAGCTGAAGACCAACAACTAACGACAATATTTAACAATGTTTAGTTTAATATGAGATAGTCTGCTTTACTTTTTATTTTGGCATTTGATATTTGGCAGTCAACTGAGTCAACATTTCTGATGAGTGATATGTTAATGCCATAGACTATTTGACAGCATTTTATAGCCAACATGGAATAGCATTGGTGTGTTTAGTGTGCGACTGCTCGCAACACATTTGTACTTTTTAAAATTTAGAAGCCAAGAAGTGTCATCCAAAATCTGTTGCTCAGATTTCAAATGTCAAAGCAGAATTTCATTGTCAAATATCGTTCCACTTTTTAGTGATAAGTTTGGAAATTCCAGAAAACTTTGAGTTTTTGCAAAGACTCATTTAAGCTCCACTGATGTGTCATGTGACATTTATATTGGAAAGTCCCATGGTGAAACAGAATGGAATTGCTGAACCATGATGCCTCCACTACTTCCACTGTTGGAATAATGCTTCTGAATACCAGTAGCTGTAAGTTGCCGGGGGTGGGGGGTAGGGAGAGTCCTGCTTTTATGCTTGGGTCCTGCTTGCCAGTTTCCCAGAAGAGGCAACTGGTTGGCCACCTTGAAAACAAGAAACTGGACTAAATGTGCCACTGGCTTGATCCAGAAGGGCTCTTCTTATGTTCTTATGACTGGCTTCAGTTGCACATGAAGAAATTTCTTATTTATGCTTGGTTACTGCAGAAAACCACTAAGCCAAGTGAATTGTGTTGCTGACAGGACCATTGTTACATAACTTAAAAGAAGATATAAATGTCATACAGTAGACCTGGACAGCTCAGTTGGTTACAGGGTGGTGCTGATAATGCCGAAGTTGCAGGTTTGATCCCCATGTGGGATAGCTGCATATTCCTGCATTGCAGCGGGTTGGACTAGATGTTCCCCAGGGACTCTTTGAACTCTACAATTCTATGATTTTGAGTTACGTGCATTTAACTTGTGCACATTCAGCTTTATGTGCTTGGCAAAAAAGTTTCAAAATTTTAAAAAAATGGGGTAGAAACAGCGTGTCTGGGATTAAAAAAACCTTTGGCAATCCCACCTAACATTGCACCCAATGTGTTTTCACAATACTTGATTTTTGGCTTTATGCACTATCCCCAGAATGTAACCCTGCATAAATTGCGGCTTTACTGTATATGTATAGATACAAATCTCTGTCTCTGAGCAAATTCAGATGGTGAGTGTCTGGGTTCTTGCTGATACTTTGTTTTGTTTACCCCCCCACTTTCCCGCCATTAGCTGGGGTGGCTAATCTTTATTTATTTTATTAGTATTTTGTCCCAAGGGACATGTGCATGCACACAGACACAGGCACACAGTCCCTCTTCTCAGCTGATTCATGAAGATGAAAGGTGGGGGTGATTCACATTCCCATCAGGGCACTGGGCTCTGGTCACCTCCACACCGCCACTCAAATTGGTACATATAGTACATTGTGCCAGAGGTTTTCCAACCCACCTGTCAGGGATGAGTATAGTTGTTCACGAGTAAACAGCCAGGACTCCGACCTGCCTTTTTACAGGTTTTATTTGGTGCAAACTATGTACAGTACAGACATCCAAAGTTCATGACTCCCTCAGTCGCTGGCGGATTCCGAGAGTGGGCTTTTCCTGCCCCCCCCCCATCATAAGAACCTCGCCACGCCCAGTCTCCGCCTTTTTTCCTTACGCTTGACACCCCTGCCAAAACTAGGCGACGGAAGTTGCATCTCTGCGTCCCGCAAATAAGTCTGTGAGCTTTTGCCTTCCCTCTCTCCACCTTTCTTCTTCCGTTTCCCCTGAGGCTTCGCTGACACCAGTCTCTGAGGAAGTGTTACTGCTGATCAAAGTGGGAGGCTCTCTCTTTTTTTTACAAGTTTTTAAACATCTGAAAAAGCAGGAGGAGGGAATAGGGAAGGGAGGAGGGAAGGCCAGCACAGAATATCCCCTAAAGTCAACCTTTGTCAGCCTGGCGCCCTCCAGCTGTAGTCCAGTTGTTTTGAACTACAACTCCCATCAGTCTCTGGCAGCACTTCCAAGTTCCCATCAGCCCCAGCATCATGCTGGGGCTGATGGGAATTATAGTCCAAAACATCTGCAGGGCTTCTAGGTCAGTGGCGGCTGCCCTAAGCCACCTCATATTCCACTCTCAATTTGTCATCATAAGAGTTGAATGGTGAAAGAGTTTTGCATGAGATGTGTTAATCTTCGAAATCTGCAACCTCCTGTCCACCAGTTTGGGTTTAAGAAGTGAAAAAGGGGTGGAACTATATAGACACAAGTATTTAAATTGTTTTGCTTTGTGTTCTTTGTGCATGTTTGATGCAGGTCATGCAAAGGAACTGCGGCTGATGAAACCGGAGTTGAACTTGAACAGTGACCATATTACAGTTGCCGCCGGAAAGCCTTTCGCAATCACTTGCCGGTAAGTGGTGCACTGAGAATCCAGGGTTCCATCCTAAAAAGGAAGGTGTGGTGGTAAATCCAGAGTTGATGCATGGATTCCCAACAAGCAACTTTCCCCAGACAGGAAAGATTAGGGGAGGAATTCTAAATCGGAGGGTGTTAATTAAGCCATGATCCAAAAGTTGCAGGAGGCAGAAATTTCAAATATTTGTACCCTACTTCACCAGAACTCAAGGTGCTTTTACAAGAAAATGAAAAATCAGACCTACAACCTACAATAAAATGAAAATGCAACCCTCTCACCACTCTTGAGAAAACAGAAGACAAAAGCCAGATTTCTTGAAGAAACGGTGGGGTATAAATGCAAAAAATTAAAAAATCTTTTTAAAAATCTTTGGCAAAAATGTGTATTTTAGGCAAAATTGCATACAAACGGGTGTATTAGGAGAAGATGCACTGTGAGATAGTGATGACTTTTCATCGGGACACTGACGTGGACTTGTAAAGAACTGGATTTAAGAAAAATGGAAACTGAAAGAAACCAAAATGGATGGTTTCACTCATCCCTAGTGGTGACAGGAAGGAAGCTTAGCTGAATAGCAGAGTAGATCCTTTGGATGCAGACAGTCCCAGTTTGAAACATCGGTCTGGAGGGTCACTGGTGCCCCACTCCAGCTTTTGCATTCTGTCCAAACCAATCAAATAACTTCCTACCAGATAGTAAAACTTACTGAACATGTTTTGAATTACACTCCCTGCATCCCCAAACACTATAACCATGTATATATTGACATATTAGCAGTGTGATCCTATGCATGTCCACTCAGAAGCAAGCTTCGTTGAGTTAAATGGGGCTTTCTTTTGTTTAAGTCTATGGTTGGACCATAAATCTTTTTTAAAACCTTCTTTGGCAATCACCTCCTAATCATGCTCTAATAAGGAATTCAGTGCAAGGCAGAATATTGCAGTGAAAACGCTGTGTTTAAACCTCACAACATGTGAAAATATCCTAACCTTTTTGCAAGCTCCTGAGCCGATCACTCTTTCCTCTTTCCCTCTCCCTTCCTCCCTGCCCCTACAACACCCACTCACTCACACTGATGGAAACAAATAGATTTGAATTTAACTTGGAAGAAATCTATAGTGTGTTTTCCCACTAATGTCTTAGAGCATTTCTATAGCAACTTCAAACAGCCACTATTTGTTGCACCAAAATGGAATATAATCATACCTTTCCTCCAGAATCAATACTGTTCTGCTTATAACCTTGCTCTTGTAACATCACGTATGTCATGCAAGAAACGCAGGAACACTCATCCCTTAACCTTTCAGAAGTTTTCTTTTGGGGAAAAGCAACTTAGCATAACTCCTCAAACAGCTTTAGCAGTCAACCTCAGGAACATAGGGAGCTGTCTTATTGGTCCATCTATCTCAGTATTGTTGGCAGTGACTGGCAACAGCTCTCCAGGGTTTCAGATGGGGTCTGTCCCAGGACCACCTAGAGATGCCATGGATTGAACTTGGGACCTTCTGCATGCAAAGCAGATGATCTGTCTCCAAGCCGCAGCCATTCTCCTGAACTAGCCAATCATAGTTTTTACTTAAAGAAGATGGGATCACAGAATACAGATCGTGATGGGGTTGTCTCTTCCAAGAAAAAGTGAGAGTGCTTAGAAGCTACTCTTCTGCTTTAAAGGAACTCGTAGCAACATACAGCATTGATATCTTTAAGCAAAATGAACACCATCAGTATAGTATATGAGCAGTCTACAAACAAGCTATAAGCAAACTCCAGGGAATAAAGAGCAGTGGCAGGTTTGGTTCATCCCATTTGTGGCCTTCTGACACACACATGAATTATGTCGAAGCTAGCTAGAAAGGTAGCCAGGCAGAGTCCCATTTGGGAGTGAATTCTGCAAAGATGGGAGCCAACACTGAGGAGGCCCTGCTCCTTGCAGGTGACTTGGGTAAAAGATAGAATGGAAAGCAAACTCTCTTCCAATGAATCTTGAGGAACAGGGATTAGGATGCCTGTGAAAGTCCCCAGTTTGAGTTGCTTGAGTTAGCAGAATCTGAGAATGTAGAGGTTGTGCTTACTGGGCCAAGGATAGTACCTGGTGAGGGCAGAAGATGGTGTCTGGCTGGTTGGCAGAAGAGCCTGACTGTGTCTGGAGTAGGGAAAGCCCATAGCTCAGTGACTGAGCATCTGCTTTGCATGCATAAGGCCACAGGTTCAATCCCTGGTGTCTCCAGGTAGGACTGATAATGTTCTCTGTCTGATATCTCAAGAGAGCTGCTATCAGTCAATGTAGGCAGCACTGAGCTGGATGTACCAGTAATCTGTGTGTCCTACTTAAGAGGACAGCCCTATACTTGAAAGAGTTCTCTATTTGAAGAGCTGCCTGGAATAAGTCTGGCTTAAATATAATCCTATAAAGGGGGAGCAGCCTCAGGAGTGGGCAGGGAGACAAAGCTTGAGGCTGGCACTAGGACAGCAGGCTAAGCCAGCACACACAGGCCACCTCACCACTCTTCCCCACTATAAAATTAATTTTATTTCTATTTAAATTATTTCTAAATGTGCAAATATACATATAAATTAGCATCTGCAAAAAATATACAAATCTGTGCCCTCTTTGGTGCACTTTTTCTTTTTCTTTTACTGCCCCCAACTTCAGAGCATAGCCATCATGGCTAGTAGCCACTAATTATTAGTGACTAATAGCTTTTTCCTGCAGGAATTTGTGTCATCTTTTGAAACCAGCCAGGTTGGTGGCTGTGACTGCCTCCTATGCACTGAGTGATGAAGTGTTTTGTTTCATCTGTCCTTAATCTTCCAGCATTCAGCTTCATTGGATGTCAATGAGTTCTGGTGATGTGAGGGTGGCAGCGAAAACTTTTATATAACCACTTTCTCCAAGTTGTGTATAATTTTATTCATACATCCATGCATCATACAATTCATCCCCACTCCATATAGTTGAAGCATAGGTTGCACTCACATATACACCTGCCTAATATGTTACATCAGGGGTGAGGAGCCTTTTTCAGCCTGAGGGCCATGTTCTCTCATAGACAGCCTTCAGCATGCCAGCGTGGGTGAGTCCTGACCCAGAGTGAATGAGGGGAAAAATATTTGGAGCAATGGAGGAGACTCTTACATTTCTACGGTAGGCTACATTCCTGCCGTGCCAAAGGATTTTTGCACACGCTTCTCTATCCTCCATCCAGTTCCAAGGGCCAGACAGAGAGGCCCAGAGGGCTGCATTTGTTCCCCAAGGCTGAGGTGACACATCTCTATGTTACACTCACATATGTACTTGCCTAATTATGTCTGAAGACCAAAACAGGTTTCATGTCTCAATGTCTTCTTTTGACAGAGGCTCGCCTGGTTTGACTTGGATCTGGAGAAATGACCGGTACAAGGATGGCAATCGGTGGCAGGTATTCGAAAAGAAATGCCCAGGCAGGTCACATCACACCTGCAGCACCCTTGTGGTCAACCGAGCTGTTGCCAATGACACAAGCTACTTCACCTGCCTTTACAGCGACCTTCCATCAAACAAAGAACTCAAGGCCGAGTTATACATTTTCGTCAGAGGTAAATGGTTCAAGATATATATGAAGTACTCATTAACCTGTCTTTCAGGCTATCAGTCTTTACAAGGCTGCTTCTTCTCGTGGCATGAAAGATGGCAAGCCAAACCCCTTTTATTAAATCTGCCAGGCTGGATGCTGATGTTTGCTTTTGGCTCCCCGCCCTTGAAAAACATTCCACCCCGATGCTACTTAATTTCCCACAAAGACCACAATGCCATGTGACTCTGGAGGGGTTGACAGTAGCCCACAACATCTTTGTTAAATCTGCCAAGACAACCAGATGCATTTTAGGTCCTTTTACTCTTTACCAAAGTGCATCGAATACTCTTGGTGTGGCAAAGTTTTATGCTGTAGCAAGCAAAACCTTCCAGGAACTGACCCTTCTGACATTTTGTAATTTTCCTCTTTTGGAGTTCATGACATGACTACAACTTTTAAAACGCTGGTGCTGATTTTATTTCACTCTGTGCCACTTCTGTGTTGTTGTTTTCTATTCTCTTTTTCTTTTACTCTACTATACACACCTGGATAATGCAAAGCTTGTACTACTTATCTTGTTTGCTTATCATTGACTGTAACAGCAAAGATCTGAAAGGTGTCAAGGGCAAAGACAAAGACATGAGCTAGTACAGGACGAGGAAGAGAAAGATACGCGTGGGAGCCTGAGGGGCAGGATCTTGGACTCACTCACCTCATGTATTTTCATGCTGGCTGTGTGGAGGGAGTGTGGAGGGAAGCCCTCAGTGGTGAAGAAATGAACCTTCAAACCAGCTAAACAGGATGTAGAGGGGAATCCTCTGTAGTCATCATTGCTTGGCCCTTAGCCTCTCAGTTTGAGGAAGTGGAAATCCTAGGAAGGCAGAGAACAACCAAGGCTAAAAAGCAGGGGGAAGGGCAGCTCAGTGGTTGTGCCTTGGCTTAATTTCAATCATCAGCATTTCCAGGCAGGGCTGGGAAAGACCCCTGCCTGAAACAATGGGGCAGTTGCTGGATGGACCAATGATCTGACTCAGTATAAGGCAGCTTCCTGTGAAGTCACAGTAGAAACCAACTTGAGCAGAGGAACCTGGATACTACGGGAGATGTACTATGCCAGACACCAGCTCCACAAATTGTGGGAGGAGGGGCAGGGGCAGGCAATGCATATTACCAGTCAGGTGATTTATTTATTTATTTTTATTTTTACGGTCCTCCTGCCCTCTAAATTATCCAAAGCCTACTGAGATACCTTGCAGGGTTTTGGAAAAGTGCAAGGCTTGGGGGAGCCTTTGTTAGTAGAAGAAGAGTTTGGACTTGATATCCCACCTTTCAGTCCCCTTAAGGAGTCTCAAAGCAGCTAACAATCTCCTTTCCCTTCCTCCACCACAGTAAACACTCTGTTAGGTGAGTGAGGCTGAGAGACTTCAGAGAAGTGTGACTAGCCCAAGGTCACCTAGCAGCTGCATGTGGAGGAGCAGGGACGCGAACCCGGTTCACCAGGTTATACGCTGGCTCTCAAGAGTGATCAAAGAAGGTGGCTGTCAGTGCATTTTCTTGGTGGCTTTATAACACACAAACACACTTGTAACAGGACTGGTCAGGCTTCTGGAAACGAATCACACTGTTTAGCAAAGAATAGTAACAGCCACAGTTAGCATTATTTATTTAGCAGGATTTATATACTGCATAATATAAAAAAATCATCTAAACTGTTTATATAAAAGAATATAAAATATTTATAAGAAAATACCAATAAATTCAAGAGACTTGGAAAAATGACGAGGCACAATTTTTTAAAAAAATCAAAATGTAGATGAAACAAGCTCTTTTAAAAAATGGTATACATAATAAAATTACATGCCTTGGTAGGCTTACATAAATAGGAAAGCTCTTAGCCGGCACCAAAACAGTACAATGAAGGAATATATATTTGCAGAGCTGCTCAGTGACACTTGCAACAACCTTGCATGGAAAGCCAGGTTTATCATCTGGTGAACCTCCGAGATACTGCCTTGCAGGGAGCTCCTGAAGCACATGGTTACCCTCTGCGCTGACTCTAAAGCGCTGGTGTCACCATCCTCCAAGCATCTCCCAGGCCCATCACTTTCCACTGTTTCCCTTCCGGGGGGAGGGCACTATAGGCTTTGTGTCTTAATACCATTAAAAAACAAGAAAGCATCTTCCAAGAAAGGCAGAGTACAATCATACCTCGGGTTGAATGTGCTTCAGGTTGAGCGCTTTCAGGTTGCGCTCCGCGGCAACCCAGAAGTAACAGAGTGCATTACTTCCGGGTTTTGCCGCATGCGCAGACACTCAAAATGACATCACACACATGCGCGGAAGCGGCAAAACGCGACCTGTGCACGCGCAGACACGCTGTCGCATCTTATGTTCCATTCAGGATGCGACTGGGGCTCTGGAACGGATCCTGTTCGCATCTCGAGGTACCACTGTATATGTTCAAGTCATCTGAATAATGATTTGGTTTGTCCTTAGTCTCTTAAAGCACTGCCCATGCAGTGGTGCAGCCCAGTAATCTTAGAACCTGGACTTAATTGTCTTATAGCCTTTAGTCAACCATGTGTAGTAACGGTTAACCTTTCTCTCCTCCGCACCTTCCCCATCCCCATTATTCCGTACTTTATACTGTAATTCTTTCTATGTTCCTGATTTGTTAGAGCAAAAGAAAAAACAAAAAAGCCAAATTAAAGTGTTTGCAGACCCAGATTTTTCTTAATTCAGTGAATACTCAGAGCATGTGCAGTTTTGCATTTTAAAACTCACGTAAAGCAGAGAGCCATCATGAATACAGGAATAAACCGGGGTTTGCTTCTGATACCATGATGCAGAATTTGGAAATTATTCTCTACTCACTTTTAAAAGTGAATGCCATGAAATGTTATCAAAAAATAGAAAGGAATAAATCATGATGTCACAACCATGTCAGTCCAGATGCTGTTGCCCCTGGCACCTGCCGCTCTCTGCGTGGTCCTTTGGGTGGTCTTTGGGTTATGGGCCCTGTGCTTCTGCCCAGCTGCACTGCTGCACCCATAGGACTTCGTTCCTAAACCCCTTATAATAGGCAGTGAGTTCCCTTGATCTTAGTTGGGTTTATTTCTACATCGGTGTGTGCGGTGAATTACTCTTTTTCTTCTTCCTCCATTTTGTACATTCCTGGAATTCCCTCTCCTTGCAACACAATAACCTTGATTTGTCTTTATCTCCCTTAATTCTAGTCTTGAGCTGTTTCCTCTTCCTGTTTCAACATTCTGTTGTGATTGCCTGCCTTTTAACTCTCTTGACTCACCCCGGGCATCTCAAGCCACAGGAAGCAGGACACACAAAAATTCAATTCCCCTCTCGCATTCAGTGCCCTTGGCAAATTAAAAACCACCTTGACTTGAATTGCTTTTCTCTGCGATTGCCTCAACGTGGGTTTTGAGACCCTTCCAGGAGTGCCCAAGGTCTTTCCTTTTTTACAAAAAGCGCAGTCCGGTATTAAGAAAATCTTCCCTGTTGTGAGCAAGAAATGAGGACTGATTAACTCTAGAAATACTTCAGCATGATCCCTAACTCTCCAGCTCTTAATTGTGACTTGTGAAATCAGTATTGCATTTCAGCAATTCATAAATTATCATCTTATTAATTTTATATTTTTTAATGAAACTGATAA